ACACAATGCTCTATTTCTTCTCTGAAAACTTTTTTTTTTTTTGGCTTTTTGAGACAGCGTTTCTCTACATAACTCTGGTCATCCTGGATTCACTCTTTAGACCAGGCTGGCCTCCAACTCACTGACATCACTTCCCTCTGCCTCCCGAGTGCTGGTATTAAAGGCATGTGCCTCTACACCTGGCCTAAAATTTCCTTTTTTTTCCCCCACTGAGTTCAATTGTGATTTATTAATTTTGTTTTGGTTTTGACACAGGACCTCATTAGGTAGCCCAGGCTTACCTCAACCTTCCAATCTTCCTGCCTCAGTTTACTAAGTAATGAGAATGTAGGGCTATGTCTGTGATTGCTTCTTTAAAGGTATGCAGATTTCATATAATTGTCCAAGTGTTTAACATAGACTATTTAAAAATCATCTTACATTTATCATTTCACGCTTTCTAACATAAAACTTCTTTATATATGGATTTTTAAAATAAACATTTTCATTATATCCTTTTTAAAAATTAAAACATCACTGTGAAGACTCTAATAAAAAAAAATCACCCCTCACAATTAACCAGGTCCAAAGGCTATATACATCTAAATGAGCTTCTGTACAGTTTGAATAGCTATTCTGAAGCTGTAGAGCCTAACACTGAACACTTTTACTATCAAATATATGCACTTATGTTCTACCAAACTCTCCCAAAAGATTACATAGTGGAGTTGAACCAAAAAAAAAAAAAATCTCAACCAAACAACAATTAGCTTGATATCCTCTTTTAAGACTCAAAATGACATTCAATCTAATGGCATCACCTAACATTTATCCTTTCTTGTTTTTAAGTTCTATAGTTAATTTTGTTTTCCCTTTTCACTCAACAGTAAAAAATGACTTGTTTGTCTTTTAACAGAGGAGCTTTAGAAATGTGCGGTTGCTCACATTGGTGGTTCCTAGACATATTACTTTGTTCTCAGAGACTGGTATTTTTTGTTCTATTTTGTTGAATTTTCTGTGCCTTTCCCCCTTAGCTATGATCTGTGTTCACAGATATTCTGTAACTGCTGATATGAAATGTATATTCTCTATATCAAGTACAGATTTTCCTGTACAGCTGTAGGAGCTACATTGTCAAGTTTTCCTTTTTCTCCATTTGACATGTGAAATCTCTCTTAAGAGTGTACTTATCTCTTTTTTTACATCTTGTGCATACTGTATTTCCACTTTACAATAGTGAATGTGGTGACTAAACATTTGTAACTGGGACTGTTTATTCACTGATAATATTGGTGGTTTGTGACTTTTCCTGGAGAGATGTAAACAAATGTCTATTTTTTTCCAGGTAGGGGCACTAATATCAGGCCAATAAAAAACTCCACTCTAAGGGGCTGGAGAGATGGCTCAGAGGTTAAGAGCTCTGGGTGCTCTTCCAAAGGTCCTGGGCTCAATTCCCAGCAACCACATTGTGACTCACAACCATCTATAACGAGATCTGGTGCACTTGTCTGGCCTACAGGCCTATATGCAGGCAGAACACTGCATACACGATAGATAGATAGATAGATAGATAGATAGATAGATAGATAGATAGATAGATA